AATTAATATCTAAAAAAATTAAAAATTAAAAATAAAATAACTAAGGAGTATTCTATTTTCATACCCTGTTAGACACGTCTGTCATTAATTTCCAAAATAACTCAGATGCGACCTAATATGTTTTTTCCATCTTATTACATACGTCTACTTGAAAATTCCATATTATCTCCTGCTATATAGAAAATGTGATCAAGAATAAGTGGAAGACTTTTATCCGGATGTGCTTCACGCCATCTTCCCAAACTTTGGTCTTTTCCTTCACTTCCAAATGTCTTTATCACTCTTTTTCAGTTATGGACTTTTTAAGTTCGGTATTTCAACTTTTCCACAACGTTGTATACTAGGCAGCAACATGGATCTTTCCTGATTAAATAGTATCCTAAAATAAAAATGTCTATTTTTAAATGAAGGAAAAATATAAACTCGCTCTTGGAATATTATATGTCAGGTAAATACGACGAAATTAGTTTAAAGTGCCTAAGTGTAAGCACAGACTAGAACTTCAACATTATACTACAACACTCTTGAAAACAACCCCATGGATTACGATTTTTCTCTCAATTTTTTTAGACTCATTCTATAAAAATGGACGAGAATAACATGAAAGATGACTAAATAATATGATTGCCTTAACACACACAAACTGAATACAAAGCACATTAGAGATAGAAGAAATAAACTCTTTATTCCAATAATACTGGTAGACATTGAGAAAATGGAATATCAGGCAACTTGACATTAAAAATGTTAAAACGTCATTAAGAAAAGGGAGTAGTGTTTAACATATGAAGTATTATTTGTAAATTAATTATTTTTAATACTTTTAAATATTAGATTCAATATTGTATGAAAATTTTTATTTATATATTTATTTTTTTTTTTTAATTTTTGACACTCTTCGTGTGTCATGTCTCGAATTTTTTAAAATTAAGGTATAGGGTCGTGCTTCAGGTGGTGTAGTTAAGATAATCCTTCCACCTAGGTAGCTTTGTTTTTACCCTTAGAACAATTGTGTTTAATCCTTAATTCTAGATAGCTCTTTATACTTAATTTTTTAGATTCATCATGGGCATAGTTTACATATGTAATTAGTGCTATAGGTTATACTTCAATTTTAGGTTATAGTGCCATGATACATAAATATATGATGTAATCTCTTTTTACTTTTCAATGCAAATCTCTATTTTTCATAAAAAAATATTATTCCCTAATTAAGGGCACAAGATAGAAAATTTCATTTTTATATAGAAATAGTTATGACATTAAAGAAAAAACCTTGTTTTATTAAGCTTGTTTGTTGTTAATTAACCCACCTAACAAGATCAAACTATATATATGGAAAAAAATGTTTTACAAGTCCTTCCCCCAAATGTTTTTTTGAGGACATGTCTAAAAACTAATTTTCTAATTAATATTTTTGAAAACCAACCATTGGATTAAAATTCTATTCATATAAATCATGTATGTCAATTTTTAGATTGATCTAATTATAGACCTAGCCAATTTGTTAAATACACAAAATTTAACATCGTTAAATGAATGTCATTAGACAAAGTTTCTTGATTAAAGAGTTATAAGTATTAAATCAATATAAAAATTAACATGCATGATTTTCTATCTAATGATTTGTTTTTGAAATTATTAATTAGAATGTAAAGCCAGGTCTTCCAAAAAAGCTTTTAGGATGTCACCTGCACTGCAGTAATCCTTTAAATAAAAGGAATTTTTTAAAGGAATTTTTTAATCTAATTAATGGTGTATTTATTACACATTTGAACCATTAATTTGTATAAAAAAATCAAAATCAATTTAAATTTTATCAATTGTCAAATTAAATAGTTCAATGTGGCAATGGAATTGAAAATAAAGTTTACTTCTATAATTTTCCCTTAAGTTTACTTTCACGTTAAGAATTTTCAGTGGGGCTAAATTTTA